GCGTTTTGAATATACCCGGTCGCCACTCAAAATACCCGACCGGGTATTCAGGCCGGGAAAAGAAGGCCAAAAGTGAGGGGTTCCGAGTTTTAGAGAGAAAGAGCGATACCTAGAGAGAGAAAGTGACGAACCTGACTCTACAAGTGTCATAGATCGATCTCCATCACCATTGGAGCCCGGCTTGAGCTTGGAGAAGACCTGATTGAGTGCCAGAAGCAGATTATCATCCTTCACAGTATGGTTTCCGCATCTGAGCTAGATTTCCCACCTCTCTCTATGGAGTAGTTTTCTTATTCACCTGGGTATGAAGAACCCTAGATTTGTATGTTAGGTCTGATTGTATGAACCCAAGTACAAATTATGTGATATGATTATATTCAATTGAGGTTTGTTTTGTTGAATGGCATGAATCCTGATAAAATTCCTATTGTTTCTGCTTTAACCTAGAAAGAGAATATCTGCCTAGGTTGATAGAGCACCCTTGATTGAAGATAGTGAATTGGCGACTTTAGTCGAGGAGTCAATTCACTATTATGTACCGAATTTACTTCGGTAGTGGAGGTTTGGTTCGTTAGGGCCTCAATCTATTTACTCTGGTGGAGGTTAGTCGCCCGCTGGAGATTCAGATTGAGAGGGTCTGCAGACCTTTAGTCGAGACTTCAGACAGTTTAAGAACCTCCCGCAGTATAACTATCATTGAACCTGAACTTGGTAAATTACAATTCGGCTTAACTGCTGACTCGCTATGACACAACTCCTAACAAAGGCCAAGTGTAACCAATGGAAGGGACTACAGTATAGTGGCTCAAGTGATAAATATCGAATCCACGGATCTCTAGAGTTACTATTACTCAGCTTCAGTTTATTATTTAGCAGACCAGATTAAGATGAAAGAACTAAAACTACTCTAGCAAACTACAGTTAAAGTTAATCTAATTACAAGTTGGGAACTCACTTAGGTATGATTCCCCCTAGCCACTAGCCAGACTAACGATTGATGATTTCTAACTTGTTTCACTTTCATTCACAATGTGGAGAATCCTTGACTAGACCTTGAGTCTCGACTAAAGGAACAAGGCCCTCTTGAGTCAATTGCCTAGAGGGACGTATCCTTCTCTAGAACAACTGATCAAGGCGTTCTGAACTAGACTCCCTCTATCGAAAGAGGTTCTCAATCGATACAAAGCAGTGAATCAACCCTCGACTAAAGCAATCTATCCACTACTATCAATCTATGGTGCTCTATTGACCTAATCAGGTATTCCCTCTCATAGGATCAAAGCAGAATCAATAATCTCGACGAAAGCAGAATTGAATCATGAAAACATGCATAGATTGAATATGAACTCAAGATTATCAAGTCAGAGTACTCATACAATCATCCAATCAAACAAACATAGCTAGGGTTCCTCAAAACCTAAGTGAAGGGAAGTTACTCCATAGAGAAGAGAGAGACTGCAGTAAGAATCTTCAGATGATCAGTCTTCAAGTCCGGGCTTGTTCCTCGAGCTTCCAAGGCAAAGAAACCCTCCAATTCCACTCCAAGAATGCCATCAAATCGCCCTCTCTCTCTTTGGTTCGTCCCTTGGGTATTTGGGATCCAAAACCCAGCTCTCCCTTGCAAAAACGCACAAAACAGGCTTTTAACAGCCTGCGTTCGCGATCCCCGATCAAAATACCCGGTCGGGTATTTTAGGTCACGACCGGGGATTTTTTGGTTCACGACCGGTGATTTTTGGGTCACGACCGGGGATTTTGGTTCACGACCGGGGATTTTTGGTTCACGATAGGGCCCCCTTCTGTTTCTCAGAGAAGCCCGAAACCAATTTTCCCCTATCTTTGATTCTTCGTTTCTCCCTCGTTCAGACTCCAAATCAGGTGCCGTTTGATCCCAGACGCTCGTAGTCTCGTCCTCTTTCTTCTCATGACAAGATTACATGATTATATGGTCACAAAATGAGGTATAAATCCCTTCTTCTTCAAGTCATACCCGAGTTTCTTCCCCCGAGTCGCCAATTATCTCCGATTGACTTGAAACTTGCGCCTACGCTTCACTTTATGTGCTAGGACCTGAAATGTGACAAAGGAACACAACCTAGCGTAAAATAGGCCAAAGAAGCAATAATGCAAGCTTAAACGATCAAGAAACAAATGGGAAAACATGTGAAAATACCGAGTCATCAACTGCAGTCTAGGGGGAACCATATCCGGGTGACCTCTCTCTACTTGAAAACAACCTTTTTACTTGCTTTGCTTGTTTTGATCTTCACTAAAGTTTCATTGCTAAATAATAAGAACTCACGGGGTAGTCATCACATCTAGGACCCAGGTTGACATTAAAACCCAAACCTGCTATACTACGCTTTAGGAAGTGGTTACACTTGGCCATTTTCTAGAGTGACAGTAGGAGCGAGTCGCTTACAAAAGAGGTAAATGAGACAAACTTGGGTCTGAAGGTAGTACAGCCCGAAAAAGGAAAAAAGACATAAAACAGGAAATTGGGTATCAACTGGGAAGTTTGCCAGTTCCACCAGAAACGACATCGCTCCACGATCGTTTAGTCATTAGCTGCAACGACGTCGCTTCGGCTTGAGGAGATCTTCCTTCCTTCAAAGACACCGGATCAACGTGAAGAGAGTGTGGGAAATTCAAGTTTGAATTTTTCCCTAATAGATCCAAACTTGGGACATGACTTATCTCAAATCTACTGCTAAAAAAGATGCAGAAAACAATAAAGAGAAAATCCACTCACCGTAGTCTTCACCACCCGCCGGCGGGTCTGCCTTTTCCTCCTAGGTAAGGGCCCTCTTCTCCGTCCATTGTTCCTCTGTCCATGTGAGATTGGAAAGGACAGTATGATTCCATGAGGCTAGTGAAAGGAGGAGCGTAGTTTGGAAAGAGACGCCGAAAGCCGAGAACTGGACGGAGGTGGGAGAGAAAGGGAGAGAACGCGAAAACGATATAGGGCACAAACTGAGGTGAGAGAGGACCATGAACGAAGCAATCCGGCTCCAAGGGTTGGGAGTACCAATACCCTAATCAAGGTCAGTAAAGCAAGTACAATACGATTCATGGCTGCTGACGTGTTTGACAGAGGTTTCAGTAGGGTTGCCGTGCAGGAGAAGCGACGTCTGCATCAGTGGGTGTACAGAAGGGATGGGCGTTTGCTGGAATTGGGGGAGACCATGCAGGCGAGAGGAAGAGGTGAGTGGGAAATTTATTTGTTGTGAAGGCCTTTGGAAACCCTAAACGACAGAAATGATACAGTAATTGAACCTATCTTTTATATATAGAAGGAATGAATGATAGAACAATAGCTTCCCTTCAGACCATCGTTGAGGCATCCTAAAATTTCCCAGCAAATGGCAGCCTTTATTACAACAAAACCAAAACAGTTAGTTAAAAGTAAAAACTCATCCCCACTCACCCGGCTTATCATCCATAATCGTCTACCATAATTATTAGAATTATTAAACCATAAGTACTAAAAATTTACCAAAAAAGCAAGGTTACGGTTCTTTAAGAAAAATTCGGGATTTACTGTTCACTATGAGATTTTGTGATCACCTGTAGACATTTGTATGTAAGCCCACGCTCAGCCCATTGGGCTAAACAAGTATAGTCGTTGATTGCAGTGAAAAGGTTACACCTCATCCGTACCACCCTCTTTCTACGTTACTTTTTGGCTTTCCCGGTTCACTTTCTTTCCCATCAAGACACTGAGACCCATCAACCTACTTCCCTCTCTCTTCCCTACGTTCCAAGCAAACCCCACAACCAATCACCATCATCATTCTCACTGCATCTAGGCCACCTCCATCTCCTCTCTCTCTCTCACTGCAGCATCAGGCCGCCTCCATCTCCTTCTCAATTCTCTCATTCTCATAATCATGTTCACCAAATTATATATAGTCAATTAACTAATTCACACATCACACTCAGTTGGGATACAGAGACGCACTTCCTTTTCTTTCCTCCCTTTGCCAAAAGGGTCCTTTTCCTTTTTCTTAACCTTGGCTCCGTTCACCGTATTTTCAGTATGGGTATCTAGCTAATGCAACAGAGGATTTTTATTTTTACGGAATGCAATAGAGGATTTTTGGGATAACTAAAAGAGAGACAAACAATTAGGTAGTAGGAAAAGGATAAGGAAAGACAAGCAACTGAGGGCGGAGCTAGATGTTAAGAGGGTGGATTTCGGATTCCACTCTGAATCGGAAGAAAAATTAATAAATTAGTTATAGTAAATAATTGAGAATAAATTTTAGGGTGCATCTAATTTAAAGTGGTTGGCCTTACAAATGCTTGATGTAGAATTTACTTATCTATATTCAAAATTTTATAATAAGATATGTAAAAACAACAATGGTGCATATGACCCACTGAAAATCAATGTGCGCTTATTCAATATTAAGAACAAATTTTTCACCAAATTTTAGCTAACTAAATCATAAATAACTGTTCCGTACATATAGAGTAATATTTTTTATAGTTTTGATTACCATTGTATTTTAATTTTCCAATTTTTGAAATATAATTCAAATTACAAAGTTAAGAAAAACTATTTATCATGTGTATTTTTCTTCAAACGGACTCACTCTAAATGAGTTCTGGCTACGCCATGTTATGAGGTGCATTTGTTGCATGAGCTGAATACTACATGTGTACAACAAAAATATATTGTTCTTGGTCAAATACTACATGAAAATTTATTGCAACTTCTAACTCACCAAATATATAATGATTTTTTATTATTGTATCTTGCCTTTAGTTGTAGTACTTTATTTTTTTATACAAAGTTGAATAGTTTCATTCAAACACATAAGATAACTTTACAAAAAAGATTCAACATCGAGGCCAAACAAGAAAATGGCACTCGAACCACAAGACTTGCTCTAATTTCAAGTTACTTTTTTAGGTTTACTCATATTCAGTTGAGAACTTTTTAGGTTAATGAATGAATTTAGCATGTGATTATCCCAAATGTGAGAAAAGTTTGTTTGGCCTTTTTAAATTTATTAGAGGCTAAATTAGTACAAACTCATGTTTAGATTACATGATTTGATGGAGATTAATGAAATATAGGTAAAAAAAGTTATCCCGCAGCTAAGCGCGGGCCAATTAACTAGTGATATAGTAACAAACTAAGTTACTGCCTCTCAAAAAAGGAAATGACAAGGAAAAAAGGTAAGTGTTCTTCTGTCACTCTGTTCGAAAACTTCATCCCAAATATGCAGAAAGAGAGAATATAACCGCAAGAAAGGACAGTCTGTCTACAAGGATATGAGGCCATTGGATGGAGTTGATGACATGGTGGTAAGAACCTCTGTCACTGAAGCCATTACACTCAAAGCAGCCTTGAGAACTTCAGGCGAACAACCTGGTTTCACTATGGTACGAACCTGGAAACGTACATACAAACAAAATGTCAACTTCTAAATCCTCTAAAGTACATAATCCACAGAGAATCCTACTCCATTAGCTAATCATTATTAACTAATGTGGCAGAAGGTGCGATCTATTCTAACTCAGTAGCATTCATTACCAGGTTTAGCGATGACCTGTTGATTAAAGCTTCCACCATGACTTTATACAAATGAGCACTAGGAAACAAAATGAAAGAAAAGAAACTGAGAGCGAAGTGTGATCTAATAACATAACAACTCACCTTGTCCAAGTATTCCTGCATTCTGCCCATGTAATCTTGGTCTTCAACGCACGAAGTCACAGCTTTGGCATCTGCCCCTGGACCGTCAAACTGAAGCGGCCCCGGGTTTCTGTACAGATCATCCAACAAGAATCTCACTGCGTTTTGTCTCAGCAACCAACAACCATGTAGAAGCCATGTTGTAATCCTTATCTCCATGTTTTAACTCAATACAGAAAACAAGGGGGGATTAAAAGAGGAAGTTGGAAACACTCACCCATATGCTTTGCCATTCAAGTGAACAGTAGCTGGGTGAATAGCAGGTTTTCCACTTGAAGATGCTCCGGGACTTTGTGCCCATCAATTCACAGTCAACATTGCCTAAAATTCACAGATCACGGAAGTCAGTGCAATATACCAAGTAAAGATAGATCTTAAGGTGCTGCCATCTACAAGCATTATCAAATAGAAATTAGAAAGTAAATAGATGGAAGTAGAAATACTGTGCTTGGGGCAGCAGCGCAACGCCATGTATTCACAGGGTTCTTGAAGTTAGTAAGAGTTGCCATGTAACCATTTAAACCTGCCGCAAGAATATGGTAGCATATGTGAGTGTGACTACTCATGTTTCTTTAGAAACAATTGTGCTTATGAGTGTAAGATGTGAAACCATAAACCAATTCAAGAAACCTAAAGTAAAGACATTATCCTTTGTGGCATAGAAGCAATTCCGATTTTGTTAGAAGTGCTAGGTACCTTCAGTAGTGCATACGCCTCAGGAATACTTCCAATTAGACCCTCTGGCAGCAGAATAACTCTGTGGTTATTATCTGTTGCAATCATGTTGGATTAGATTACATAAAGAAAAGAAGATGACTTGAGAGAGATCTGAAAGGTTTTCAAAATTGTTCAAAATCTTGTTCTGCTCTGGCTTGGACTGCATCACAAATCTTCTTAGTTATGTCAAACAGAGTAAGTTCTGATGCTGCTACCTCTTCACCAAGAATGACCTGAAACAGGAAAGTAATATGAACAGGCAAGAATGACACTGCACTACAATAGATATATAAAAATACATGAAACTAAGAAACTAGTGAATCAATGAATCCTAACCATATTGGGATGAGATTGAAGAGTGCACTCCAAGGCAACATGAGAAGCTTTACGACCCATTAGCCGAATAAAATAATAGTAGTGCAGAAGAGACAACAGGTTAAAATCTTTGCAATGACTGGGAGTAAAGGCAATATGAGAGAATTCATTTATCAATTACCATCAGAGAAGTGAATAAGAAAAATACTGGTATACCTTCTCAGCAGAAAGAGCATCAGCACACATATTGCTGATGAGCTGGGAATTAACCTGCAGAATGAAAATAAATGAGACTGCACATTCAATGTTTGAGAACCGGAGTTTCACTGTTTAGCATAACATGAAGAGTAGTTTTCAAAAAAGTACAACATGAAGCATTATAGTAACCAAACTTAGCAGATTGTATCAAACCCAACATTAGTTTCCACAAATTGATTCTTGAGATCTCCATTCGAAGTAACAGGGACACTAACCACCTGCAAAGTGCAAAAGCATCAATTATTGAAGTAATGAGAGAACTGGAAAATCTTAAACAATGCATCTAAAGGACAGAACAGCTAGCATCTCAATTCAGCTTTAAAATGCATACAAATGTACCTTGGTTGGACACCCTGCAGCTGCAAACGTCTCAGCAAGTTGAGCAGCATCCGTATTTGATTTAACCCCTTTGGATATGCGTAGCAGGAATGGTTACTAATACTTCAAAGTTCATCATGTTTTGTTGACGCAACCTTAGGGACTAACCCTACCTCCAATGATAGCAAGGGCATCCAACTTAAGATCTGTGCAGGCAGCCAACGCTGCATTAACTTGTTCAGTTGTTTGTATCTGATCTTTGGTCCTTCCAAGCAAATCATACCCACTTTGCAGAGTGCGATCATAGAACAACTTACTCAAACTGGATAGGTTTCCGAGAATAGACAATGTCAACATGACCGTTACATGATTCTATTAGGTACCTTGATTTTTGTACGTACAAAGAATGTTGTCATCGATTTGAAGAGTTTTCTGTGCAAACAATCCCTCGGACCAACCTGTCAATAGAATATTGTCATATGAAGCACATCAATTGCAGTGTATCTAAGATTACTCCTTCAACTGAAGGCTTTTGTTTCGTTCACAGAATCATTAATTTACAAACAGTGATGTTGGCAAAAAAAATATTACCAACCATCATCCAACAATTTTTTTTGGTAAGCCATCAAGAGCAGTTACATCATGCTTAGCTTTTGGTTGACTGACTGACTGATTCTGAACTGTACTAGTCTCCAAAACCTCAACCAGAAATCAAAGAAATGAACAAGAATGATTTACCCAGAAATCCAGGCAATACACTGTTAGGATAATGAGTCTTGAGAGCATTGTGAACACCCAATATGACATTATGTCCATCTGGTGACTGCCTTCCACAAAGGACTAGTCCAACCGTGTAGGGCTAGAAGACGCGGAGCTTCAACACGTGACGATTGCATTGAATGAAACAGAACCATAGTTGCCCATATGATAGAGGTAAGACAGAAATATTACTTGTAAGGTGGATGTTCAGTGATGATATGAGCATCAGGAACTTTAGCAGTTGCCCTCAGGAAGTGGGCTAAAGGCTGGATCAGCTGCTGTGGTACCATCGCCAAATTACACCCTCACAGTGGTTCCCTTCCCTGTGACAAGCCATGACCCCAAAAACAATTAAGAAAAAGAACTGAAAACAAACAGTCTTCTCTGATCCGAATGCAATAAGAAGTCGTAATCGTTTTACGGAAGGGAAAAGGCAATGGCTGCAACAAGATCTACTTGTGCCAACTCCACCTAACCCTTCCTCAATCTCCGGCTTTCGTTACACTAAGCAGATCTATCCTCAGGAAAGGCTGATCTGAGCTAACATGGATTGTAAAGAAGGAAGAAGGCAGACAGTAAGGAATTAAATTGCATGAAACAGGGAGATCGCAGAGGACTGACTGCACGTGCGAGTGGTACTGACAAATGGAGTAGAGGAGGAAGGAACCTGAAGGCAGGGAGGGAGCTCCGGCTGATACTGAAATCGGAGTAGCTGAAAAGGGGGAATGCAGAAATCGGAATCCATAGCTACTGCTTGTTGATTGCAAGCAGAAAATGGCGGTAGGTAGAGCCTCTACCGTTGCGGCCAATTATGTGGACTGAAAATAAGAGAGACGCTATAAGGAGAAGAACGCTTTTGCAGCGGCATCCAACCAAAACAAAATAAAGCAGAGCATACATTCAAGGGCATCTGTCAATTCGCCCAGATGTTTAGATAGGTTACATAGCGTAAATTACACATCACGATAAAGAAACCAATGCTCAGGTCTTTCTTGTTTTAAGCTACGAACGCAAAATGTTCCCACTCAAATCCAAACTAGCGTAACATTTCTCTAACACGCCGCCATACAAAAATGGCAGCCATTCAGTCTCTTTCGCCATCTTCCATTGCTCCTTCAACATCCACCGTGAAGCTATACTCTTGGTCGCAACCCAGATAAGAGTCGCACATGAAATAGAGCGTGTAACTCTTCCTTCCAACTTCAGCAGGAGCCGCAAAATCAAGCTTAACTTTCAGTCTCCTCTGCAGAGATACCCTCTTGATTGCCAGCAGCTGATTCGTCTTGGTGTCACCGACCACCAGCCACCACCCTTCCTCCTTGGACTTGGGGTACCTTGGGGCATCCACCGCACCTACCTCTGTCCTTCCTTCCAGATCCCTCTCCAGCACGACCTGTAGGGTCACATCATCTCCAGCCCTCACATTCTCCCCGCCTTGAACCTCGTACGTCATATCGATGTTCGGATACCGATTGCAGAACTTGGCAATGTCCAGCAGCTCGGGATCAGACATCTGCAGCAGATCCCGCCTCTCATCATCCTCCATCTCCACCAAATCAAACAGAGTCTCTATGTTCTTCCCAGGGTTCTCCAAGCACTTCCTGGCCAATTCCCGTGTGAAGTGGGGAAGCTGCAGCAGCACGGAATCCCGTTCCCACATCCCTTGTGTCACCATCTGGCTAATCTCCATTGCAAGAAGTGCAAGGTTCAACCATCCGTTGCTTGAGATGACATCAACCATTGCCTGGAGCAACCTACTGGCAGAAAGGAGAATCTCCCGCTGGTCGAGTGCTAGATTCTTTCCCACTGTCTGCCTCGAGAAATGAGCTTGAAGCAGAATGTTGGCTTTTGCATGAGGATCACTGTACCTGGGATTCTCAAACGAGAATCTCTGGTGATTCATCAGCCTTCGGAGCTTCTCATCCTCCCCCGGTCGTACTGGAAGCTGTGCATACTCCGAGGCAGAAGCCAGAATCTCGAGGAGACCTTTCATCTTTGTCTTGGGAGTCAAAGACGAGCTGAAGCGCTCGATGGTTGTGTAGCTGATGTAATAGTAAGATGCTATCATGCCAAGATTGAGGGGAGAAAGATCCATGTCATCCTCAATTGCAATGCACTTGCTTGCTTCCAAGTTGCTCAACGTGTTCTCAACTAACTCTGACAGATGATCAGAGAGATGCCTATGACTCACGCCTTGCAGATTGTAGTAGTTTGGATTTTGAGTCAACCTCCTGTACATGAATGTCCAGGTGAGATAATCAACTGCATCCTGCTTGTTCTCGATAACTCCAGCGACTATTTCAGCATTAAAATTATCATGCAGGAAATGGTGCAGGTGACTCTCAACAGGGAAGGCTTCGTAGAGAAACTTCTTATAGTATTCTTTACGAGGTGCATGGCAGAGGATTACACACTTCCCGGAGTTATCGAGCAACGGTCGACTAGCGTGGCCCATCATCTGCAACAGATCAGCAACCGGGTAGTCCGTGTGAGCATTTTCTCTCCCATCATAATACTGAGTTCCCATCACAACTACCAAGTGCGCCAACAGAGACACTCCCCAAGACATCGAGCTGCTCACTACACAAACCTGAATCCAACCTGCTTCAAACAATTGCGAGACAACCTCCTGATCCAAATCAGTCAATCCCTCGTGTAAGAAACCGACCCCAAAGGTTAGAGTGACCCGCAGAGTCTCATCCTGAATTTTAGTTATAAAAGGCTCTAGCTCTATGGAGGGTCGCAACAAAAAGGCAGGATTTTCACCGCCGTCAACTGCAGAGTACGACATCAAGTCCTCAGCTGTGGCCTTCACATACTTTCTCGTGGGCACATAGACAATGGCAGGCTTCCCATTCTTTGCATGCTGAACTATTGCTGTGTAAGTTGGCTTCGTCATGGCTTGCATCCTTGCCTCGAAATTGGCAATATCCACCCCTTGTATGTGTATCTCTAGGGGAACAGGACGGACACCAGGTGGGAAATTGAAGAGACCATGCGAGGTAGCTCCTATCCACTCCCCCAGATCTTTAGCATTAGCAAGAGAAGATGAAAGGGCCACAATCCTGGTCTTGTTCTCGATCTGACTTGCAATGTACCTCATCCTGGAGACAATCACCTCTAGCACTGGACCACCCTGGCCTCCAATCAAGTGAAGCTCATCAATTATAAAAAGACTCACTTGCTGAATATTCTTTCTTTGCTTCCACCGACGGGACAGTGCATCCCATTTCTCTGGAGTACTGATAATTATTTGACCCTTCTCGATGAGTTTCAAATCAGTAGTTGTTTCCCCAGTTAGTTCCACAACCCTCAAGCCAAGGCCTTTACCAAACTTCCTCTCCCAATCACGATATCGCTCCTTAGCAATTGCTTCAAGAGGGGCTATATAGACGGCTCGCATGATGCTATCAGGTCCTTTCTGGTAATTCCTCAACACTGCAAACTCTGCGCATATCGTCTTCCCACTCCCAGTCGGGGCAGCAACCAGGACATTGTCATCTGTGTTATACAAGACAGTGAAGACCTGTGTCTGGACCGGATTAAAATGCTTAAAACCCTGATAGAGAGCCTCATAGGAAGGATTTCTCAAAGCCGACACAGGAAGAGGCTGCAAATCCAAGAGCTCAGTTGGAGGGGGGTACTTCTCCGGTAAAATTAGGTGTCTGAAAGAGACAGGAAGAACAGTTTGCGATCCAAGCCACCTATCAGATACGACACGGATGAAATATTGAGGGGGCAACGGCTCATAGATTGGCACAGTGAAATTCAATGTGTGATCCTCATCAATATACTGCTTCTTTAGCATGAAATACTCATGGTGCAAGATATATTCGCCATCATTGTCCTCAACAATTACCCAAAATGGTTCCACGTACCCATGAACCCTGTCATCCCACTGAAAATCAGGGGTGACAGTGAGCTCCACCCTCAAAATAGTTCGAGTTATTGGCTGCACGTGAGCTGCAAGATTCAGCTTTGGAAATTGATGGATGAACTTATGCAACATCCTACCCATCTTCGGGAAACGAATGAGTTCACCAATCTCCTGTGATGTGAGGTCATAGTATCTTTCCCACGACAAATCTTTCTTTTCCAATTTCATAAGAATCTCATTTGGTATCCCGTTGAATTGGCGAAGGGGTGTTTGGACACTCCACATCTTCTTATTAACCATCTTACACAAGTTCAAAGCCTTCTCAGTCAGCTGCGCCCACCCTCTTTTCAAGACGATCTCAAAAAGTGCTCGAAGAAGACGACCTGCACTCTGCACCATCCAAAAGAAAGAAAATAAATTAAGAAAAAATTAAAGCTTCAGCATATGTAGGTCTAAATCCAACAAGAGCTACTAACAGATAATAATAGTACAAGGACCAAGAAAATACCTGTGTTATATAAACCATATCAGTAGTCAATGACAGGCCTTCAAGCTTCAGCTGTGAAATGTATGCTTGCAGAAGAACATTGATCTTAGCACTAGGCTCCTCCAGACTCTCCTTCACAGGAATCGGAACGCGTTCCAAAAGCTTCGCTAGTTCCATCTTCTCGTCTTGCCTAACAGTTACGTACTTAAACTCTTCGCTTAGCGAGAACAAGCGACACAGCTCAATGTCCCCCATAGTTGGTTTCAGATGCTCATTATAGGTGGATATGGTGCCGTGAGTAATATAGTAGTAGCTCGCAATACGACCAAGGTCAGTAACCTGGAAATATCCACTTTTCCTGTCATACTTGACCAAGTTATTCTTGTCCAAAATTGTTGCAGCTGAATGAATCTGCAGAAGTAAAAAGTGACATTGTTAGGTCTCAAACAATGATCCATGTAGGATGTGTGCATTCTAGCTTAGATCACTATTGATCAACACTAGCACAAGCATCCAAGTTGCATAGCCTCTGGCCTTAGCAATTAGATCACTATTCACGTTAATAAACCACCATTCACAGAAAACAATCAATTTCTACTCCACAAGACCTATTATCAAGCATTTTAGCAAAACTTCCAGCGATTGCAAACTAAATCCATGAGAAGAGATGCACATGATTACCACTGGTCAGGCACTTTACTTAAAAGGCAATAAATTATTCATAGAGTTAAATACTACTTACCAAATCAGCCCTTCTCTCCTCCAGCGTGATATCCCTTGTAAGAATATCTGATGCTAAACCATAAAGAGTGGGATTCCTCAACATCCGTACATACAAGTAGGTATAACCAAGCCAATTGCACGCTTCTCTTGCATTCTGAACAGTACCAAGCACAACTTCAGCATTCAACTGATCGGCTAATTTGGATATGAACTGGCTCTCGATTGGAAGTTGTTGATTCATCAAGGACAGATAATACTGCAGTTCACTGTGACCTGTGATTATAATACCTTCACCATACGAATCATACTGAGGCCTACCAGCTCGACCCAACATTTGCATAACATCAAGTGGACTGAGTTCAGTCCAAGCTCCCTTTTCTGGATTATAGATCTGAGTCCCTTTGATTATCACAGTGTGAGCAGGCAAGTTGACACCCCAAGCTAGAGTTGCAGTAGAAACTAGCACTTGTATATGCCCATCACCAAAAAGAGCTTCAACAATTTCACGGTCAGCCCTCGCCAAACCTGCATGATGAATGGCAAAGCCATAGGGGAGAAGATCTTTAAGATCATTGCTTTTGACAATATTAGTCTGATCCTGGAGAATCTCCCGGCTAGCACTGTCCTCCTTGAGGAATTTCCCAAGAGTGTCATTAGCCAGTGCAGTGTCTCGTATTGCACGGGCTGTTTTAGCTGTTTCCTTCCTGGAATGCACAAAAATAAGAGTCTGATGCTTTCCAGCTACGGCAATTACCTTCTCATAACAAAGATCATTCATTAATTGGAATCTCTGCAATGGCTTCTTGACAGAGACACCAATATACTGTTGTGAAAGAGGGACAGGTCTGTAGCTATTATCGAAATGAAAAAGCCCTTTCCCTACATCGACTCTTAAAAACAGCGCCACATCTTCATAGTTAGGGAGAGTAGCCGACAATCCCACCATCCTGATATGGTCCCTCGTTGTCTCAACCTGTCTGACAGTTCTAGCAACAATACTTTCAAGCACAGGGCCTCTATTATCATGAAGAAGGTGGATCTCATCAATGATAAGGAGCTTAACCAGTCGGGTGTAGGTGCGATCCCCAGACTTCCTGGTAATGATGTCCCACTTTTCCGGAGTTGTTACAATTATTTGAGTTTCTTCAATTTGTTGACGAGTGAGTGACTGGTCTCCACTTAGTTCCCTTACATTCACCCCATAATCTTTCAGACGTTCCGACAAATTACCAACAACTTCAGCCACAAGAGCTTTCATGGGTGCCACGTAAACTATTTTATAGCCATTATGATCAAATGAACCATCCTTGTCCCTATAAATACCAAGCTGCTGAAGTATAGTGAGAACTGCAACATTAGTTTTTCCTGCACCGGTTGGAGCACATAAGAGAATATTATCGGCACCGAAAAGGGCCGTCTGATAGACCTTACTCTGCACCCTGTTCAGCTGTTGCATATTTTTAAAAGCTGGTTGTGCCCACTCCGGCATCTCCGATATCCTAACAAGCTTCTCATCAGGACCTAAAGGTTTTGGTTTCAGAGCCGGCACATGAACTTCTTCATACCCCTTGCTCTGATGTCTGTAAGAACCGTTTGGAAGGTCACATTTCTTATTTGCCATAAATAGACCACCCTGGTCAAAAGCAATATTTTCCAGGTCAAGCAACTTCGGCTGTCCCTTCACCCAGCTACTACTGTGTGCATCTCTCTCAACAAGCATAGTTTCATCCCTATCATCATCACCACCAACAGTCCCATCCTTCAGTCTGCGAGCCTCTTCTCTTATGCTTTTCTCCAAATTCTTTTGCCTCTCTTTTGCAGTAGCTCGGGTCGCCCGAAGCTGCAGCAGAATAGCAGCCAAATCAGGACCTGACCTTGTCATTTCCTCCTCAATGTAGTTTCTCTCTTCCTGGTCCTTGGCACGGACTAAACGGGTGCACCACACAATCTTCAGCCTATTATGCACGAGAAACTTTATAAGGCTGAACTTCTCAAACTGGAGGTGATACACCAACTTATTCTCAACTTCACGGTTTTCTCCCTCAGCAAGAATCTTTAGCACCTCTTCTGCAAGTGTTTGACACTGCTGTGGGTCGATCTGTTGTTCAAAAGCCTGGGAGATCTTCCTCTGGAGCCAATAAGCATCAATATCTTGAACATTAAGATTCATACCCTCATTTGCCTGCCCCACGTCATCATCATCGATTGCACCACCCATCTGCATAGCCCCACCACGATCACGCTTAACCAAATCATCATCATCGTCATCCTCTTCGTCCTCTGGGACCATATCAAGATCACTCTCTTCTTCCTCATCCTCATTGTCTTCATCAAACTCAACCGCCACCCCTACATCATCATCAAGAGCATCTTCACCATTAACAGCAGTAGGTCCACCAGCATCAGCTCCATCTTGGTAATCCTTGATAAGACTTCCAAGAGTAACCAGGTTATTAAAGAAATCACTGGAGATTGGATTCAACAGCTTCTCAATTTCCTTCTTCTTGTCAGTCGTCTTCGAGGACTCATTCTTAAGTACAGCCAGAATCTCATCAGCAGCAGCACTGACAATATTAGGAGGCTGACCACCCAGTTGGGATTGAATGGCACTAAGCATGGCTTCATATGCAGCTCTGGTTTCCTTGGTCTTGGGCTGGTAGACTCCTTCTTCGGTTGCGGAGAGTACACTCTCCTGCCGGATTCTTCGACGTTTAGCTTGGCGGCTTGGAACAGGTTCAAACTGGTTGTCCCTCTCCTTCTTCTTCTTCGCTTTCTTAAGTTTCTCTTCAAGCTCAGGTGGTCTGCCTCTCTCGACACGATCACCGAAGTTCCTGGGGTCGATTTTGCCGTGGAGAGACTCGGGCTCGCCCGTGGGCTCATGTGTATCTCGGGGACGGGAGTCGGTAGTGAGGACAAGACTCGAGTTAGCTCTGTACTCGTATTGTTTGAATCGTGCATGAGCTTCTGCGCCACCACCGAGGTGAGCCATTGCAGGGGAACTGAAACAGTTGGATCTGGAACAGATGAGAAAACAGCAAGCAGGAAGAAGAAAAAAACCAAAACTCAATAAAACAAGGAAAACCCTAACCTTTAAAACCGAAGAGGATCGACAAGCAGCAGAGATAATCCCCGGAAAGAAACCCAAACCCTAAACGAAAGAAAGAGAGCGCGTATCAATTAGGAACAAGCAAAAACAGATAACAGATGCAAACAATGGGAGAAGGCAATTAACAGGTCCAGTTAACTCACCCAGCAGTTTAAGTTGACGAAGCTAAAACCTCACTCAGTCGAGACTGGCAGCTTAGCTTTCTCGGAAGCTTCCTTCTTCTCCGTTCACTTGTTCGTCGGAAATGAGGCCTCCGTCGATCCACTGAGACGGGGCTGTGTGTGGATTGTGGGGATGGCTTATCAGGGTTTTTCGTTTTTAGGGCAAAAAATTCAGAACCGCCATATTCCGATCCAAGTCGGTCTAGGCTTCTATGGCTCTGGCTACTTCCCACGATTTGGTTTGTTCCCTGCTCCTGCTCTCTTAGCGGGGTTGCCCACTACCTTTGGGCTTTGGGCTCTCTAGTTTCAGCTGGCTAGCTTAATTATGGGCCGAACAGATTGCTTCATAACTGGTGGCCCAAAAAAAAATTGTTATTTGCCGCCCGAGTAATTACTATTTGCCGTTCGTAAAAAACACTAAAAAGACAATTTTACCCTCCAAATTTTTCTTTATATTCTATTCGCTGAAATGGTTTTTTAAACAACATACACACCACCCGACCACCAACCCCCCACAAACATCATAGCCAGATTCACGCCCACCGGACGGCAGTCTAAGTCGCCGGCCACCGGACCAATCTCGTCAGCATCATTCGTTGGCCACTGGACGGCAGTCGTACCCCATCGTCGGACCAGAGAATCAGATAACCCCCGTGACCGACCTCCTCCTGGCCAGTAATTTTTTTGCCCGTCCGCTCGCCGGAGGCGGACGACGCCCGTTGCTAGCGGGCGGACAGCGATAGCCGGCAGTGCTTTATTTTTTTTAATTTGAGACATATTATTAATTCTAGATCTAATAATTTATATTTAATTTATTGCTTTTATTTCTATTTTCCATAGTTAAATTCATATGTAGTTTGAATTAAGCGATTGTATTTTGTTGTAACGCTAAATAGTTTCTTACCGTCAAATTATCGTTATTTTTTAGAGTTAATTAAATTATTGCATTTATTTTAATTTTTTAGAGTCAATTGAAGTATAATTAGTTTAATTAAGAAATTGTGTTTTGTTGTAGTGCTAATTAGTTTATTGTGTTTAGATTTAATTCGTAGAGCTAAAGAAGTTTAATAATTTATATTTAAATAATTTTCTTATCGTCAAATTATCATTATTTTTTAGATTTAATTAAATTATTGCATTTATTTTAATTTTGTAAAGTCAATTGAAGCACAATTAGTTTAATTAAGCGATTATGTTATGTTGTAGTGCTAATTAGTTTATTGTGTTTAGATTTAATTCGTAGAGCTAAAGAAGTTTAATAATTTATGTTTAAATAATTTTCTTATCGTCAAATTATCATTATTTTTTAGAGTTAATTAAATTATTGCATTTAGTTTAATTTTGTAGAGTCAATTGAAGCACAATTAGTTTAATTAAGCGATTGTGTTTTGTTGTAGCGGTAATTAGTTTATTGTGTTTCGATTTAATTTGTAGAGCTAATTTGGTTTAATAATTTATATTTAATTAAATTTCTTATTGTCAAATTATTTTTATTTTGTAGAGTCAATTAATTTAGTTTAATTTTGTAGAATCATATAATTTGTACCTTTCTAACGAGTTGAGAAATCATAATTGCAGGTGGACATGGCTTACAATGTTGAACTAATTGGTGACTACACAGACCATTTTCTCAATGACGTCCGATATGACAATTTCGAAGATGTTGTAACAGTGACCAAAAACATCGCGATGTCTCTTGGTTTCTTTGTAACCAAGGGATCGATGAAGCCACGTGAGTTGCGCAACAATAGAGTATTGGGTATGTGTTTATATGTATTGCGACAAATGCAGTAGGGAGAGGAAGTCATACAAGCCGGATCCTTCCAAGGAGAGTCGTGGCAATACAAGTTCAAAAGGATCGGGATGCATGTTCAAGGTTAAAATCAAAGAACTACTGGTTGATCCAGATGCTCTTGATGGACCTTCATTCTTGGAGATACAAGCAGTGATTGAGCAAGAAAACGGTTTAAGGCGAGGGTATCACAATCATGAGAAGATGCTTTATCCCGAGGGCCACAGTCGAATGAATAAATTGAGTCAGGAGGATAAAGAATATCTGAAGCAGATGAGAGATGCTGGGGGTACCTCGGGTCCAAGTCTAGGAAAGACGAGATGGGCGAGATGAATGCAATGCAGTATGCGTTGCAAGCAGCTGAACGTGAGAATTATCATACAGAGGTTATGAAGGACGATAACGACGTGCTTACACATCTTTTTTTTGCCCATCCAACTTCCATCCAGATGTTGAAGTTGGGCAACATGTCCAAGAAAGCTACGGAGTAAACTCGGGTCGCTCGGTCCTCCAGCACACGCTCTTCTAGCCTCCCAGGCCTCTCCCACATCAGCAGTACCACTCTATCCCTCACCAGGCTGTGGAGCTCTGTAGAAACGCCCTGCATGGTCTCTATAGATCCCAGTAACAGCATGAACCCCAGTAACGACATGTGACGATCCGCTGGGGGCACCTCTGTCTCTGATCGGACTGACTGGTGGAATGCGATACTCAAATCATCCGACTCATACTCCTCCGACTCGTCATCAATCTCGTATGAAGGCTCAAACGGTGAAGCATGATCACGACTGGGATCAGCTCCACTACCAGCCATACTAGGCAACTGAAAATCAAATTGAGGAAAACCGTTTGCCCTCAAACTCATCGGTGTCACTAGTGGTTGTGGCTCATATCTATCATTTGGGTCCCTATTTCTCACACTAGCGCTAATGTTACACCCAATGAATCTTCTCAATCTCTTTGCAGCTCCTCCAGAACTACGTGATTCTCCAGAATTACCAGGTGACGCCACCTCTAAACATAGTCAATAATTTTCTATTAATATCTTATAATAAATTATTTTTTGAGCAATTACTTGTTGTTTCATAGAGTAATTATGATACATACAATTTGTTATCTAATTAATTTAACTAGATAGTTATTTTACTTAATACGATAGGTAATTATTTAAATATTTATTTCAACTTACTCAATTACTTAACTAAAACATCATAGATAATTATTTAAAATTAACAATTATTTACAATTTATTTAGTCCAATAATTATTTAGATAATTATTATAATAAATTATCTATTAGCATAGTCAATAATTATCTATTTATCTCTTATATTAAATTATTTGATTAGCAATTTGTTCATAGTCATAATTTATCAATTACTAGTTATGATACATACAACTTGGTTATCTAATTAATTTAACTAGATAGTTACTTTACTCAATACGATAGATAGTTATTTAAATAATTATTTCAACTTAACTAATTAATAAAATAACACATTATATAATTAACAATTATATACTAATTATATAATTAATAATTATAGACTAATTATTCAACTATCAATATTAAACTAATTAAGATACTAACAATTGTATTTAAAATAAATATAATAAAAATTTATTTAAACCGAATCATAAATCCAACCAGACCGGTCCGACCAGACCTGGCAGACCGCGTCTGCTCCGGCGTGTCGGATGGCGGCGAGAACGAATTAAAAAAAAAAAAAACAAAAATCCCACCAATTCCTCGGGATAGGAAAGTCTATGAAAGTGTTCCCAAAACCTAGACCCCTGCAAAACAAACACAACATAGTGCCCAGTTATCCGTCCAACCGTCACGGCCCCGCAGAGGGAGAATATGGTAGATGAGGAGATCGCCATAGCGCGGAAGGGAACTTACCGCACCGGGATGAAGAGACAAGCGAAGCTAGAAAAACCTTATCAGTGAGAATCAATGCAACGCTTAAACCAACCAAGGAACAAAGAGTATAATTGTCAAAGCATTATCCCCAAAACAACCCATCAGACATGCAATTCTAAAATAGGCTATCACTAAGAATTAATTAATTAATTAATTAATAGAGGCAAGAACATTACTAAACGAAGAATTGCGACGGCATGGGCATAGATGACAGACGGTGGTGAGATATCAAAATCACAATCGAAATTTGATTCCATCAATTCCGTCAAGTGTCGGTATTTAGTTGACCACGAACCTACAAAAAAGATTAAGAAGCCACCACAAGAGCGAATATCGACGATGGCGGCGCACAAGGTCAGAATGACCAGTATCGGCGAGTCGCATAAGAGAGATAGTAACCACCGGAAACGATCAGCCTCCAGAATTCTAATCGGCGGACTTGAATCTGACGGTGATAGTCCAGCAAGAACGCCCAAGGTCGAACAAAATCTTCTGCGAACGCTGACGAGGAAGCCGGAATTTCAGGATGACCGAAAAAGGGGCAAGGGAGCGACCTTCTTCCCCGGTGAAAATCCCTAATCGGTGGAATGTCGTACGGCTCTCTCCTTTGGCGTTCGCAGTCCTCTCCTCCGGTGGCCCAATTGATCGACCATAAAATTTGTCATTATATACTTATGGGGTCAATTGCATGGTTGGTTACTGAGATTACAAAAAACGTTCAAGTTTGATCATTTAAATCCATTGGTACTTTAGTTTACTAAAACCGTTCACGTTTAGTCACTCTCCGTCTAACTCCGTTAACTTTGGCAGTTTGGCTGATGTGTCAGTCAACTCTCAAAATTGACTGTTAACATAGTGATGTGGCAACTAAAAATTATTAAAAATAAAAAATAGAATTTTATATTTTCCACTTCATTATTACATTCATTAAAAATAAAAAAAATAACCTAATTTCTTTTCTACAAACCTCATACCCGACCCAACCTTCACAGCCGTCGCGGAATCCGACCACCGTAGCAACACTCCCCACCACCACCTGACTCCGACTCCTGCCGCATCCCCGTCCCCGACGCTGGCTTCAATTCCTCCTCCCATCCCTCTGCCGCCGCCTGCGCCAGCGACATCCAATCCAACGACAGTCAACTCTCAAAGGCTGGTCCTCCAATCCAACGGCAGCAGGCCAGAGCTGCAAGACCACCGCACTCTTCGCAACTATGATATCACCAACAACTCTGAGATCATTGCCACCGCCCGTTCTCCAATCCCCGCCCCGTCTCCTCCCCCATCTCCGCCGCCCCAGAACCGCCCGACCCGGTTAGAGCCGATGCGGTGGTCGTCGTCGCATTCAAGGAACCTAATGCTGAGACAAAAGCTCAAAAAAGGGTAAAAGACAAAACTTTAAGGCCCTGTTCACTTTCATTTTCGTTTCCTGTTTTCTGTTTTCATGTCATAAATTTAGCAACCCAAATAAGAAAACTTGTTTACTTTTCATTCTGTTTTCTATTCGTTTCCAACTATGAAAACAAAAAGTGGCAACTTCCTCCTGTTTTTGGAAACTACAAAATATTGTTTTCACCTGTTTTCAACATCTGTTTTCTCAAAAACAGGAAATAGAAATGAAAGTAAACAGGCCCTTAGTTTCAAATGGAAATTGCATTGGATCCCTAGTATTATGATTATCAACAATAGATAGCCCCAAATACTGAAACAAACAGGGGAAACAACACAGAGAACCAAATAGCCAGCCGCCATAGCTGAAGTTCCACACTCACTCACATACCTGAGAAGAGATCTACCCCAAGGTTATTCATAAACCCTTCTATATCGATTCAGTATCTCATCTTCCGAGCAATTCACTCCATATTTCTCCCCAATTTGTTTGTATATCTATGGAATCAACAAACAAACAAAACAGAAACCATCGATCACCACGATGTTCGAGCAATTGAAAACGTAAAGATTGCAGAAATTGAAGTAGAGAAGTCAGGGAGTCCTCAATTTTTCTCACCTAAGCCATGGGTTGGGAAGGAACGACGAGAGTGTCGACGGCGTCAACGAGGAGAGCCTTGTGGGTGACGCGGCGGTGGTGGAGTTTGGGTCGGGTAGGGTATGAGGGTTTGTAGAAAAAAATTTAGGTTTTCTATTTTTTTATTTTTTAATGAATGTAATAATGAGGTGGAAAATATAAAAGTTTATTTTTTATTTTTAATAATTTTTTAGTTGCCACGTCACTAAGTTAACGGTCGACTTTGAGAGTTGACTGACACATCAGTCAAAGTTAAAGGAGTTAGACGGAGAGTGACCAAATATGAACGGTTTCAGTAAACTGAAGTACCACCAATAGATTTAAATATTTCGAATGACCAAAATTGAACATTTTTGTAATCTCAGTGACCAACCATGCAATTAACCCTATACCTATATATATCTTTAACTTATATTTTAGTTGTTTACTTGTATTAGAGCAACCAAATATACACAATTTTTATGTTATATTTTCATTTTAACTTCTTATAATGATTTATTAATTATTGCTAAAACCTATACCTAATGCGTTCCTGTAGTGGTTTTTTTGTCCTCCCGCCGGTACGGTAAAATTTTGAAAATACTAGTAAGAAGTTAAAACTAAATTACTATCCAAATTCAAAATAAAAAAAAATAAAAAAAATAACTGTTATAAAACTTTAAACTAGAGCATGTGATCTATGATACTATAAATATGTGGACTGATATAATTATATTATAATTTTTCAAGAAATATAATGATATTTGTGTGTCCTTATTACATTAGATAGAGATAATATTATGAAGTAAAAATGATGAATTGCTAAGTAAAAATAATCACTCTCATCTGTTCATGTGACATTTGCTCTGCTGTAAAATTATTAAAATATACCAATATAGTTTAGCCATGTGTCATCATAATACATTTTCATTTGTGTAAGAATGTTGCAGATTGTCTTGAAAAATATGTTCGTATATTTTTTCAATCAAATTCACTTGGTCTAACCTTAACGCACCTTTGGTAAAGAAGTATCCAAGACATATGTTTAATTTGTCTCTATGGATTAAATTTAGCATTCAACACTTATTTAAAGTAATAACATTACGGTAAAAGAACGAAGCGGCGAAAAAACCCTAGCTCCGGTTTTGTCGGAGCGGCGATTTTTCGAGTCGTGCGAAGACCTGGTTTCCGCCATGACTGTCTCAGTTCCGGGAGGTCCCCTCCCGGATCCCCGCCCGCCAGAGATCAACGCGGGCTCAACGCGACCGCCAGATACGTCCTCATCACCGAATGGAAAGTCGGAACGCGAAACTCAACAAGCTAAAAAGCGTCCGAAGGCGATGTGTGTGAACCCCCTGTTTGTGGCGACACCCATGGCCGAGGACAGTGTGACGCCGGAGGAGAGCCCGGTCAAGAATGGTAACAATGGCACGAACAGCCCGAGACGCCCGGCGACTCATACCGCATGAGGGCAAGGCTCGGCGAAGCTTTTCAGCGACGTCCTCGCGGAGGATGCTTGGTACGTTGCAGAGTCTGATTCCGAGGATGTCGGGGCAGCTATGCGTGAGGATGACCTCGATGATGAGGTCCCGGAGGACGATGACCCGAAGTGCCCCACGATCCCTTTCAAGGCGATGGAGAAGATCCGGTACCGGCGCAAGTGGCGATCGGCACTGATTATTAAGGTCTTGGGGCAGACGTTTCCTTTCCAGGCAATTTCTCGCAGGCTAGAATCGATTTGGGCTAAGCATGGCGCCATCCAAGTTGCTAGCATGTCTTGGGGATTCTACGCCGTGCGGTTCATGAGCGAGATGGACTACGTGCAAGCGGCGGATGGTGGCCCATGGACGATCGGTGGACATTACATCACTGTTCGACCTTGGCGAAAAGGTTTCGACCCCCGAACAGTTGAGGTAGCAAGAACTATGGTTTGGGCACGTTTCCCGGGGCTTCCCATTGAGTTCATTAACCGATAGGCCGCTGAACGTATTGCCTCGAAGATCGAGCGGCCGGTGAAAATGGACAGGGCTACCCAACTTGGTGACATGGGACGTTTTGCCCGGGTGTGTGTCGAGGTTGATCTCACGAAGCCTCTCCTCTCACAATACAAAATAGAAGGACGAACTTACTACATTGAATATGAGGGACTCTATCGCATCTGTTCGGAATGTGGTTAGTATGGTCATACCTCGAAGGGATGCCCCACTCTCTTCAGCCCAGCTGACCGAGACAGCCTCTCCAGTCAGTACCAATCCTCAACCGGTCAAGCCGTATGGTGAATGGATGGTGGCTAAACCCCGGTCTCGCAATAACAATGAGAAGAGCCATAAAGAAAAGGCCACGGGAAAATCCCATCCAGTGAAGAAGCAGGGGGCAGCAGTTTCGGACCAGGGTTCCGGGTCGAGGTTTGACATCTTACAGGCAGAGGAGGACGAGAACCTAGAGGACATCATGGACACGGAAGTTGATCAAACCACTGCTAGTCCAAAAGAGATAGGTACGACTCAGGAGAGCACACCCATACCATCGAAGGCGGTCACTAGCTCTCGCGTTGTGTCTGGTGCCAGTGTGTCCTTGAAGGTGGGTGGCCCTTCAGTTGCTAAAGAGCCTATCCCCGCGGAAGACTTAGTGACAATGCCGATTACTTTTGGGTAGGGATGGCAATTTCGACCTGACCCGATTTACCCGACCTGTTTGACCTGTTTTGGGGCGAGTCAAACCCGCCCCGTAGGCGGGGCGGGGCGGGCATGGGTACCTCTCATCGACCCGACCTGCCCTGACCCGCCCCATTCTCGACCCGTTCTTGCCTAAATTACATATAATATTAGTTAAATTACTTAAGATTTTCTTCTTATTACATTATATTTTAGCTATAATAAAGTTGTAAATAAGTGAAAACCTCAATTTCTTCAATAATTTAACTACATTTTATCATATTATGGTTTCTTTCTTGGTCTTTCAATGAAAAGAATGAATATTTCTAATGTTTTTCACATAAACTACATACCCAATGGGTCGACCTGCCCCGACCCGCGCCCCGTGATAAATTACCCGACCTGGACCCGACCTGCCATGGGGCGGGTATGGGTATCGAGATACCCGCCCCGGACCTGCCCCATTGTCATTCCTACTTTTGGGGCGACAGTGAATACCCATCTGGTTGCTCCTGCAACGTCGACTGAGCCCCAACCAAAGGGTACTCGAGCCACAGGCCAGCCTAACCCGGGGCGCCCTTCGGCGGACAGCAAAGGTTTAAAGGGATTGACTAGCAACAAAGCTAAGGGGAAGAGCACGACAAGCCTGGGGGAGAATCACACGAGCAAAGAGAAGCGTAAGGCCCCCACCAGTACGTCAAAGACTGAGACCACTCGGGAGGGCGGTAGCCCTACGGCCAGCTGGGAATACCGGACCCAGGAAGCGACATGGTCGCCAAGTCATCTATCTAGCTTTGCGCTAGCGTTTCTCAGGGAGTACTCCTTGCTGGCCTCTTTGTTTCTTATATGTTTAGTTTATATTATGTTTAACGTTTTTGCATGGAACTGCCAGGGGGCAGGTCACGATCGATTTGTTTCTTTTTTGCATTCTCTTTTTGGGCCATCAAGGCCGGACATTGTGATTATTGTTGAGCCACGTATTAGCGGGACTATGGCTCAACAGGTAAATTCCCGCTTGGATTTCGAGGGATTATTGATGGTGGACGTTGTTGGTTTTGCAGGGGGCATTTGGGTACTCTGGAATGAGCAGGATCTTCTAGTGACGAAGCTCGAAGCTTGGGAGCAAATGATCCATTTCAAGTGTGCGAGAAGGAATTCTCGGGATACAGAAGTGGTCATTTCAGCTATCTACGGAAGCCCCAATGCAGCTAGGAGGCAGGACCTCTGGGACAGAACCGTGGACCTTGCCGCCTGCACCCCTAAGCCTTGGTTGTTGGTAGGGGATTTCAACTCGATCCTTGGTTCGAATGATCGTAGGGGCGGGGTGGATTACCAAGAAGCTAGAACGAGGCCTTTTCGCAACTGTCTGGATTGAACTGGTTTGTTGGACATGGGTTTTACGGGACCACGGCTTACTTGAAAGCGGGGCAATCTTCTTCAAAGGCTTGACTGGGCGCTTTGTAATAAAAGGTGGCTGCACAAATACCCAGAAACTTTGAACTTCCACTTGGAGAGAATTGGATCCGATCATCGCCCTTTACTTGTGCGGTCTGCACCTCTAATGGGCTCGACGAGGGATCGGCCTTTCAGGTTTCAAGCGACTCGGCTGGGTCCTGAGGATTTTGCCGGGGTGATGGAGGAGTCGTGGAGCCCAGCGTCACTACTGCCGGTGTCTCTTACGCGCCTCACGGAAGCTCTGAGGGTGTGGAACAAGCAGGTGTTTGGTAATATTTTTCGCAGGAAGAAGGCTTTAATTTCGAAGTTGCGCAAGCTGGAAATGGACAACGAACTCCACAACACTGATCGATCGGTTTCTCTTGAAGACTCCACCAGGAAAGAGCTAGAGCAAACTCTCTGGGAGGAACAATTGTTATGGGTTCAGAAATCGAGGACTAGCTGGGTGAATGAAGGCGACCGGAACACCGGGTTCTTCCACCTGTCCACCCTGAAGAGGCGGAGATTCAATAGGATTGTGGCCCTTCGAACAGAGGATGGAACGTGGTTTCAGGATGAATCTCTTTTGCAGGGCATGGATTGAGGTTTCTATGTTGACCTCTACACCGCCGAGGGGGGGGGGGGGGGCTGCTCCCTGGATCCCAGCGTTGTTTGACAAACTCGAGGAGACGACAGCGAGATCTATGGAGCATGGGTTCACGCTGGAGGAAGTGAGGCAGGAGGTGATGAGTATGGGGAGCCTAAAAGCTCCAGGGAAAGATGGGTATCAACCTGTGTTCTTTCACAAATGTTGGTCTACGGTTGGTGAGGCTCTTTTCTGGTTTGTGGGTGATTGCTTTGTGAATCCAATGCAGATCGGGTTCATCAATGAGACTCTGTTGGTGTTGATCCCGAAGAAAGAGAGCCCAGAGTACATTGCCCAGTTTCGGCCGATCGGTTTGTGCAATGTAGTTTATCAAACCTTGGCCAAATGCATAGTCAACAGAATCAAACCTCATATGAGGCGCCTGGTGCATCCTACTCAAACTTACTTCGTCTCGGGGCGCCACATCACTGATATTATTATTGTGCAGGAGGTGGTTCATTCCATGGGTCTTAAGAAGGGGAAGAAAGGTCAAATGTTTCTCAAGATAGATCAGGCTAAAGCTTACGATAAGCTGAGCTGGCGATTTCTGCATGAGACTCTAGTGGCTGCAGGCATTCCCACCCATCTGACGAGCGTCATTATGGCTTGTGTGTCATCTTCGTCCATGCAGGTTATGTGGAATGGCGGTGCAACTGAGGGATTTACTCCCTCGAGAGGCCTAAGGCAGGGCTGCCCGCTATCACCGTATCTATTTACTCTGTGCAAGGAGATATTGAGTCATGTTATCCAGGAGGCGGTGGTAAAAGGAGCTTGGAAGACGATTAAGGCCTCCCCGGGTGGCCCTTCCTTATCTCATTTGTTCTTTGCTGACGACCTCATTCTGTTTGCAGAGGCTAGCGAGGAATAAGGGGAGGTTATTATGGAGTGCCTTGACCGGTTCTGTCAAGCTTCAGGCGAGCTAGTCAGTAAGGACAAGTCGAGTGAGTGCTGAGGTGGCCCGCAGGATGGAGATTCCCATGACTCAAGACCTGGGGCTGTACCTGGGAGTCCCGGTCCTCCATGGACGGGTGACAAAGGTGACTTACAGATACATTCTTGATCGGCTTGACAAAAAGCTTGCAGGTTGGAAGGCCAACTCCCTTTCGTTGGCAGGGCGTGTTACACTAACAACCTTGGTTCTGTTGGCCCTGCCTACGTATGCCATGCAAACCTCTTATCTGCCTATCTCGATCTGTGATGAAATAGACAGGAAGATCAGGAGCTTTGTATGGGGCTCAACGACGGACGCCAAAAAGATCCATCTAGTGCACTAGGAGGGTGTTTGTAGGGCAAAGGAGGATGGAGGATTGCCAGCATTGACGAACTGACTCCGGAGCTAGACTGGCGGACCATCTGGCGATGGGAGGGCCCAGCACGGATCAGGCATTTCCTCTGGCTAGCCACACGGGAGCGCTTACTGACCAATGGAGAAAGAGGCCGTCGTCACCTGACTCAACACACTGCTTGCCAGCTTTGCAAGAACGACCCTGAATCAGTCATGCATGTGTTGCGGGACTGTAGTTTTTCCAGGTTAATATGGATGCAGCTAATCCCACCTTCTGAATGCCAACAATTCTTCAGAACAGGTTTGCAGGACTGGATCCTCAGCAACCTAAGGAATCAGCACCGTGCTCTAGAGTTTGGTGTAACCTGCTGGTCTCTGTGGAGGACCAGAAATGATCGAGTCTTTGAAGGCAAGATCATCACCCTTGAAGCCTTTCTACACCGAGTCCGGGCTTGGATACCTATAGTGAGGACAGCCCTGGATAAGGACAAGCTAATCCATAAGCCGAGTCTGCCTGCTAGAACGGAGGAGATGATCTCATGGAAGCCTCCTCCTCCTGAGTGGGTTTGCCTCAACCCTGACGGCTCCGTTATTCATGATACAGGTCTTGCCGCTGCTGGCGGCCTGATTCGAGATCACACTGGGCGCTGTCTAACAGCGTTCGCTTTGAACCTGAGAGCCTGCACTATTACCCAGGCTGAGTTGAGGGGCGTTGTGGAAAGGCTTCAGGTGGTTTGTGAGCGAGGATATAGACGTGTTCGTGTGCAACTTGACTCCAAGTGTGCTGTCCATCTCATTCGGCAGGCGCATACAGGTGACCATCACTGTGGTTCAATCCTCGATCGCTTTAGGGATCTTATGTCGAGACCCTGGGAGGTTACTATTGAGCATATCTATCGAGAGGGAAATTGTTGTGCTGATTATCTTGCTAGTAGGGGCCATGTTCTCCCCTTTGGTTTACATGAGGTCGAGAATTCGGATCCGATGTTGTCTTATTGGATTATGTATGATTGTCAGGGGATTTCCGAACCCTGGTTGGTTTTGAATGAAAGGTAGGGTGCGGTTGCATCCATTATAAAAAAAAGTAATAACATTACGTTTTTCTTATGTAATTCCAATTTCTTTATGTTCCCTTTTTATTTCTTTGCATCATTCCTTTCATTTTTCTTCCTTCCAAACACATTTATTAAAACCCAGTTTTTACTTTTTTCCCTAATGCAATTTAATTTTTTTTTCTTTTCTTCATATTTGATATAATTCATTTTATTGTTTTGGGTGTCTTTTTATTTTCAAGTGATATCAAGAGAGAACAAGAGTTATACAACAAAACTACCCAGGGATTCCTTACAAGCGACACCCTAGAAGATTCCATTGGACATAAGTCAAGGATCTAGAGGCGACGAAGGTGATAGCATCTCTTACTGCTAAGAGCTCTTCCAAATAAGAATTGAATACTCCCTGGTGATGCAGACCTGTTGTCACCACCACATGCCCATCTACGCCACGGATAACAAGACCAGACGAGCACCCTGAGTCGCGAATTACATCGAACTTGATCTTCAAATAGTCGTTTGCTGGAGGCTCCCAAGCGATGGGAGGAGGATTTGGGAGGAACGATCTGGGGGCGGAGGAGGGGGAATAAACTGGAGACTTCGAGGACCTAGTTGTAGAATTGTCGGGCTAGAGAACGAACATGAGGTTGGTAGAATTCAAAAATCGCTTTATTTCTAAACTTTCAGATTCTCCAAAGTAAAACAGACGCACTGGAGAATGTTAAATGGGGGAGATCTCAAATATCATGACAATATCGCCATCATAGACTAAAATTAGTAGTCGGGGCGGAATCAAGGATGTTGCTCAATCCCACTAAGGTCCACAACTTGGTGGCAAGGGGGCATCTAAAGAATAAGTGGTTAATACTCTCTTTATGCATCCTTATCCTTATCCTTACTTAATATTATGGGGATTCAAAACCAATGTAATGCCACATCAGCACATGATTGCCTCTTAGCCTCTCTCGCATCATTGGGGAATAAATGAATCTTCCCCAATTTTATCCCTTCGCCACCCAAAAGTCCCCGTTAATTGGCCATCCCTATATGAATAATTATCATTTTTTATGGAAAATTTATCCCCATCGTTAGTGGCCTCTGAAACTATGCAGAGTACAAATTACTTAATCTCTCATGTTATTAAATTACATATAATAATTAATATTCATTTTACAAATAAGCTATTTCATATTTATTCAATGTTTACATATCCGAATCGGATGCTGAATCTAAAAATTATTGGTTGATGGTTTAATAGTTAATTCTTATACAATCATTTGTTAAATGTTGATAGAACCTATGATGCGCTATAATATAAAAAACACATATAATCTTTAATTTATGAGTGAATTTATCACTAACCATAAAAATTCCTAATTCATATTGTCTATCACCAAAAAGCTCTAACGAAGCTTTCAAACTATCTTAGAAAAGAAATCATACTCTCTTAATTAAATTCAATTAATAAGAGTAGCAATCCATAGGGAACCATATTATTCTGACAAGGAAGCTAGAAAATGAATAAAAAATATTAAAAAAATCAGTGATTAAGGTGGGGTAATCTTAGATTATGTTAACTTCGTTTTCATAATTTTTAATATTAAAAAAGTGAAATAAAGGACAAAAAAACTGAGGTGGTCATCTGATTTCATGCCAACCCCTAAAAAATTATTTGGTCCATCTCTAACCGTCCAATCAAATTTAAACATGAAGGAAAACAAATACGAAAGAAAACAAAGAAGCAATATAAAAAATTAAAAAATACAACCACTTCATACACCCAAAACTAAAAAGAAAGAATAAGACAATAAGGAGCAAATACAATAACCAAATAAAACGCAACGTCCAACGGGCGGGTAGATAACTAGTACTTATAATAAAATTTAAGCATGTGATAGATCTAATAGAATAGTTGAAGCTAAATAATAATAAAAAACTAATTACTTCATTTTATCAATCATGAGTATATCATTTTGTTTTAAATTAGATGTTAAAAAATTTATGAAGAAAAGAATTAATTGTGATCAACGAAAGATATTCATTTCGACATTTTTTAAAAAAATCAATAATATATACCACCATTGTATATGACATCTCCATTCATGTATTTCTTGTACCAATATCACATTGAATGCAATTTTTATTATAAATTAATTCAATTGATATTAAAAAAACCCATTGTTAAAACGAATGAGATATATCTCGTTAAATATTCATACGATAGTGGTTATGCATTGTGCAAAAATTGAGTCATTCACCTAAACCGCTCCCAACAATTTTCACAATAATTATCTTTTTATTTTCAAAAAGTTCATAATAATTCGCTTACCTTTGGCGTATTTTGACTTCTCTCAACCTACTTCCGTTCAAAAATTTAATTTTTCTATCATTTTTCCTCCATCAAACACAATCGTTTTATATAGGCATTTGTATTTTTTACTCTGTTTCCATGTTGTCCGTAGGTTCATTTAATTTCGTTCCATGCAACATTTTTCTTCTACTTCATTGTTGGTTTGGGGATGATTTGAGCAACCAAGCTCACCTCATCTCCGCAAACATCTGTACTTCAGTTCACTCAAGCCACCACTATCCCCAAATTTATTCGGCATGGCCAACTTAGTGGATTTGCACAATCTCTCATCTTTAATCAATTCTAAATGGTAAAGTTTCATTTTCCAATCAAAATAGAAAATACATAAATTATTTTATGCTTACCTCTAACTAAGTTATGTGATATGTTTGTTATAATGTCAATGAGGGAACAAAGTTGCATGATGCAATGAGAAAACTTGAGCCTGCTTAGTTTTAATGATGGTGGATAATATAGCTACAATGAGAAACATTACGCTTGTTGTCGCTGCCTATTTTGGGCTTCGTTTATTGAATTAATATTGGATGATAATATGAAGTGGAGGTAAGTGTTTCCATAACTAACATTTTATTTTAATATCATTCATAAAAAGTTAAAGGTAATGCATAACTATAGTTGTATAGCATGACAGTGTAGGACTATAACTACATCTTGAATAAGTGCTCATGAGACGCAATTGTTCAACCTTTTTTTGTTTATCTAAGCCATGTTTATTACTTGGTCACTTAGTTACCAAACATATTTATCTTTCACTCTTAGACATTCTTCAAGTAAATGTCATTGTTATTTCTAACGGTTAAAGTAAGATGTCATGATAGAAATGTCACAAACTTATATAGTTCGGTATATGAATGAAATATTGAATAAAATAGAACACAAATGAAAATTGTCTATAGTTAGGGTGTTGTAGTGGTATTAGCCTTAAAAATAAAATAAAAAAGCAATCAAAATGGACTAATAAAGAGTTCAAATGCTCAAAAAATGATTTTCAATGATCAATCATGGTTAAACTACTAAGACATTATTGGTCATATAGAGTCCCGCACATGATTCTCGTTGGCAAATCATAACAATATAGATTAAAATTGGAAAAAATAGAAAGATACCCTATGAGCTTCACAAAGGTTGGTTAGAATTATCTTTAGGTAGGGTAACGACTAAAGAAAAGTACTCTTGATGTGGAAGATCAACGTTAGCCGCAACCTTAGAGCATACTTGATTTGCTTTAGTAATGAAAATGAGAGAGAGAGAAGAGAAGAGTGGAGACTGGAGTGGTGTGGTTTGGGTGGAAGGTAGGGGAGGGGTTCCCTGTCTAGACATGCGAACAACGTTGATCGCGACAGAGGATTGTGATCCAATGGTGGTTTGCTTGCAAACGAAGCGATCCGCGTCCTACTCTCTTTGCCAAGGGAGTGGTTCTCCCCACAACCACGCGATCTCCTCACGTGTTGTGCATCACGACAGAGAGCATGATCTGTGTCAACTGATTTTGACCAAATGATGCGAGCCATGTGGCTCGCTTCTGAAGGAGGCGAACAAGTAATGGTTTGCTCCCCTAGCAGGAGAACTGCATGAAAGCTGGTAATTTTGGAAATTTATTTTAACTGCAGTATTGTGCGAATTTTTTTCGTAGGTTAGTTATTTGTGGGAATCTTCCGATTTACAGCAATGCCCCTCGAAGTGCGCACACTGTTGAGGAGCGGTTGACGTTACAATATATTTTCTCTGCATTGCCTTATTGTTATGTGTAGATCATCATCATCATTATTATTATTGTAAAAAACTGGTATGTTCCAAGAGTATGATAAACTCTAAGTGATCTGACCATTATATATACTTTAATAAACTCCAATTACTGTTAACTGTCATTTATTCTTTATATAAAATTGAACTTTGGATTTGAGTTAGATAATTGGGACTTGGGGTTTATCTACAAGAAGTTAGGATATATTATCACACACTAACCTAATTTTAATTCATGTTCTAGATAGAGATATCTCACTACTTCAGGAGTACGCAAGTCTGACCCTATTATTAATATTAAAAAATGTGAGTTCAAACAAAGGTCTACAAAAAATTAGTGGGTAACCAAGATACAATCTGGGCGCCCAATCCCTTAACTACAACGAAGTTAAGTCTAGTAAAAATGTATGCGGCCACCCGAGCCCCCTAGATCCTACGACACGGAGAAATTCTAAATCCGCTTGAGCAAAACCATAGTTGTCGTATCCAACTCTCCCACTGAAGAAAAATAAAAGGTCAGAAAATCATAACCAGCCGCCATGCACAAGTCCCAATACTTGGCACACTTTTGCTAAAGCACCAGCAACAACTCAGCTTGGAACAAAACCAGTCATCCCAGTCTAAATCAAAGGTGAAGACTCAATCAGATTCATTCGGGCCTAATTGCACATGTTTTGCCCCCATTTTACTTAGAGGTTTGTGCCAAATTTGTTACTAAAAGGTTGGTTTTACGCTAGGTTCTTCGTGTTTGAGTGGGTTTCAGGATTTAACAGGTGAAACCAGCCTCGGAGTCGAAAGATTGGCGAAAAGGATCAAAAACCGAGAGAAGAGGTGAAAAAGAGCCAATTCACGGCTAACTGAGGGAGTTCATGGTCATGCAAGACAGTGAA